ATAAGCCACAATTCACTTCTACATTTGAAGCGGTGAGAGAGAGAGAGAGAGAGAGAGAGAGAAGGGGGGCGGGGTTGGCCGCCGATGAGAGAGAGAGAGACAAAAGCCCACAGTATCGAAAAATAAGGCCAGTAACTCCTCGGGAAGGGCGTCAGCAAAAAAAAGAGAGGGGGGGGGGGGGTAGAACAAAAAAAAACAAAAAAGAGAAAAAAGAGAAATTCGGATGTTAACACAGCACTCTACATTTCACAAATCTCTTTTATTCCTCTCTACTACCGTCACGACCGGTCGTCTATCTTATTCCTCTCTACTACCGTCACGACCGACCGGTCGTAGTGGTCAACAGGGACACTCGGTTCCACTTTTAAATACCGTGCCCCGGTTGTAGAGCGGTTAATAAGAGACTGGACTCTTGTGGTCAAGGGTGCCGGTTAGATTCATTGCGTGCACGGATGAGCCGGAGGCCAGAAAGAATGGATCCATAACGACTATCGTCGACTCCACACTCCTCGTTCTTTTTGTCTTTTTCCCCCTTTTCTGTTTTTTTCCCTTTTCTTTTCTTTCCCTGTTCTTTTTTTCTCACCTTTTTTTTTTCCACCTTTCTTTTCTTTTTCACCTTTCTTTTTTTTTTCACCTTTCTTAACTGTCGTCTTTTTTCCCCCCTTCGTTGCCGTCTTTGACTTAAACACGTCTGTCGTAAGCATTAGAGGCGTGTTGTTCCTCAAAAAACAAAAAAAAAAGTTGTTCCTGGTTGGCCGGCATCTCTTAGTTACTGTGCGATTCCTCCTCTTTCTTTTCTTTTTTTCTTTTTTTTCTTTTTTTTTCCTTCTTGTTCTCCAAGCTAAACTGGGAAACTTTTCAAAATAAATAATAATAATAATAATAAATACCGTAAAACGATCTACATGACAGTTTTAGACTTAATTCAACTTTTCAAAATAAATAAGAATAATAATAAATACCTTAAAACGATCTACATGACAGTTTTAGACTTAATTCGATGTGTCGGATCACTCCCTTCCCTCTCTCTCTCGTTGTCTGAGCTATTTCACCTTCTGCCTCCTAAGGACTCCAACTCTTACATACACTTCAGTATCGAAATCTGACCCTCTGCCTCCCAAGGCACCCAAGGATCTGACGGCTCAAGGTGTGTACCCTTCTTGCCAGCGGGCAGAATGACGCCCTGCTGACTAATAAAGTGAAACGTCTACGTTTTTTTTTTTTGGGGGGGGGGGGGGGGAATTCGAAAAAAGGAAACGAAAACCATCCAAAATATATCACAACAAATTAAAAATCGCGATGTGTGCGACAACAAAATTATTCAAACCCAAACTCAAAGCACTGGTTCTGCTACCGTCTTCACCTGAATAGAACGCCTAGACTGAAAATCCGTCCCACTAAATACGGCCCAAATGACATGGCGTTCTATTCAGGTGAAGACGAAACCCTCCTCTACCTCTGGTCATTCATTTTCCTCTTTCTTCTTCTTCTTCTTCTTCTTCTTCTTCTTCTTCTTCTTCTTCTTCTTTTTCTTCTTTTGCTTCCTTGTTCTTCTTCTTCTTCGTCTTCTTCTTCTTTTGCTTCCTTGTTCTTCTTCTTCTTCTTCTTCTTCTTCTTCTTCTTTTGCCTCCTTTTGCCTTCTTCTTCTTCTTCTTCTTCCTTCTTTTGCCTTCTTCTTCTTCTTCTTTTGCCTTCTTCTTCTTCTGCCCTCGCGTTCGTCGGCTCGCCAGAGTCATTTTAGAAGGATTCACTATGTTCGCTATGCGGACGACTTCCTGACTGGAGTCATCGGACCTAGAGCACTAGCCGATAGAATACGAAGTCTAGTGGCACGATTTCTCGAAGTAAGGCTTAGCCTTCGGCCCTTCTTCTTCTTCTTCTTCTTCTTCTTCTTCTTCCCTTCTTTTCAAAGACGCTCACCTTCTTCTTCTTCTTCTGCCTTGTTGTTGTTGTTGTTCTTCTTCTTCTTCTTCTTCTTCTTCTTCTTCTTCTTCTTTTCTTCTGCCTTCTTCTTCTTCTTCTTCCCTTCTTTTCAAAGACGCTCACCTTCTTCTTCTTCTTCTTCTGCCTTGAAGTTCTTCTTCTTCTTCTTCTTCTTCTTCTTCTTCTTCCTTCTTTTGCCTTCTTCTTTTGCCGCCTTCTTCTTGTTGTTCTTCATTTCTTTGCTTTTCCTTCTGCTGCTGCTACTGCTTTCAACCAGTTCACGTGGTCCGATGGCGGCGAGCCTGCCATGTCTCAAAAAGGAACCCCTGGCCAATTATTATTATTTACTATTACCGTAATCGTCTCTAGTAATCTCTAACAATCATCTCTAACAATCTATAATAATCTTATGAGATTATAATAAATACATAATAATGTATAACTATGTATAATAATCTACAATAATCTAATAATTATAATAATTTACATTACACAATCTATAATACTCTGTAATACGCTTATCTGATTTCATCTGGATTCCAACCACTTTCGAACTCGTGACCCGAATCTGCCTCGACCATTATTATTATTATTACTATTATTATTATTATTATTATTATTATTATTATTATTATTGTATTATTGTATTTGTAAATCGATTTGATCTGATTCCACCAGGGTTCGAACCAATTACCCGTGAAGGTTTTCACTCTGATCTGCTCTTAAACGGGTGCACTGCATGTGTACTCCATTCTGTTAATTAGACCTACCGGTAGTGTCTGCACAATAAATGCTTTCAATATTATTATTGCATTTGTAAATCGATTTGATCTGATTCCATCCGGATTCCAACCCATTACCTGTGAATAGTTTTCACGACGATCTTTATGGCGTCGTGCTCCTCCTCCACGCACCTCAATACTCTCGTCTCACGACACTCGCAGAGACTCTCACCTGACCACTCTTAGGACTTCCCCTCCGTTGCATCCGTTGCAGGAGGCGATCCGCCATGTAAACAAGACCGACTAAAAAAATTGGACCATTTCTCGATTAATGCTTGTCATACCTGAAGGCGTATGGGCCATGCTAATCTTCTGTCTCTGTATCGATCCAATGTTAACGGATATCCCGAAAAACGCAATCTTAAAAAAAAAAAAAAAAAAAAAAAAAAAAGGTATTCTGCTGACGTGGAATAACGCCGAAAAGGTTGAGCGAAAAAAAACTGTTGCTGTCCCGGGAAAGGTTGGCGGGAGAAGTGTACGGATCTCGCCGCGCACCACTCACCACCAAAAATGTGAAAACGTCAAAAGTAATGGCGTGGGCGCATTTTGCGCTCATTCAGTGTGAAAAAGACAAAAAAACGACGAGGCGCGTGTGTTTTCCCACGTTCTAGCGGACAGAGACAGTCTCCACTTTGGATATTACTAGCAGTATAGTATGTGTGAATAGGTAGTGCGGCGACGCCGTACATCGTTCACAATCGCGCGCAGGCGGTTTCTTTTTTTTTGCTTCTTGTTGTTCGAAGTTCGCGTCTATTTTTTCCACCTTCTTCCGGCATATATATAGACACAATTCTCTATTCTCTATTCGCACATACGGCAAGGCTCCGCTACCTTCCGCCATAGACATTCTCTCGCGCTTCACTCCGTCTCCCGCGCGCGCTACGTCTTTCCCCTCTCTCGCGCATGAACACGGAGAGAGGGCAGAGGCCGCGCTATGGGCACATCAACACGTGGCAGAGAGGGAGAGAGAGGGGGAGGGCGCGGGGGGGCGAAGAAGGACGTGGGGGAAAGGCATGGAGGGGGCACCTACTCGTCGCGGGGGCCGGGGGGGAAGGGGAAAGAGAGACAGAGAGAGAGAGAGAGAGGGGTGGAGGGGGGCGCGGGGGGAAGAGAGACGGGAGAGACAAACAGACAGACAGACAAACAGACAGAGTCGGTGACGACAGGACTTAGTTGTTGAGGACGAGAAGGCCGTCGAGAGAAAAGGAAGAAAGAAGGCAAGAGCAGGGCAACATGGCTGGAAGGAGAGCCAAGTCAGCACGCAAAGAGCTCACCTGTCGAGGAAGACGCACGCCACTTCTCCCCACGATCGCTACCCTCCCACACTCTGCAAACAGCTGGTTTACTCTGTAGGACGGCGGTGTTAGGGTTGCCCCTGGGTGTTGTCGACAGGAGATAGAAAGCAGAGGCCGCGTTGGGGTGGACGTATTGGGCTGTGTGACAGGCAGCAGGCGCGGACGGGCGTTACAGGGACGTAGCGTGACAATGCCCCTCCGATGAGCGACCGGTAGAAGGGAAGCCGAACTGGAACGTGTGGGCGGCGCCGCGCACTCTGGACCAGCCTGTAGACCACCTGATTACGACTGCTGCACCTTTTTGCCTCCCCATGAACCACCTCCCCCGAGGCGGCGTGTTGCCAAGGTTCACCCGTACCCATCACCGTATCGTCGACCAAATTCGCCGACCCTGCAGCACCTTCACAAACCCCTCTGAACAAGGGGTTGCTTCTGCTACCTAGGCGGTTTACGACCCCGGGGCCCGAGCCAGCGGGATGCCCGCCTCGGTGATTCCGCCGCAGCCGTCAATTCCCCGGCGGTAAACGAATCGTCTGACCAGCAGCACCCTGTTCGCACCCCGTAGGGGATGCGTCTAAACACCCAGCAGGTTGGAAAAGTCTACAGGCCCCCCCTAGGACAGAAGCAGTAGTGCGAAGGGTGTGCAATTTCGGAGAGGGGTTTGGACGGGGCCCACAGAGCAGTTGTTCGGCAGAGAACCGGTTGAGGTGCATCATGGCATTTTAGGCACAGAACCGGTCGGCAGAGAACCGCTCCGAAATTG